ATGATACAGGTATGTTACGTACAAATACATTTAGGGATTTCTAGTTCTTTGATTCTTGAATAATCCACAGTATGAGTGCTGATATTTTTCTGAAAACTGCAACTATTTTCCTGGATGAAAAAACAACTTTTTGCATATACCAAAGAAGATTAATATATCTATGGCAATATTCTATGACTCAAGAGATAAAATCAATTCAGCTGTTTGATCATTGATAAAGAAACCAAAAGCATTTGCCTATACCTAGTTATCTGAGTAACCACTTTGATGATAACAATATGTAGTATAACAACCATTGTTAATTTCCTATCACTACATTTTAAAATTCTGTGTCATTTTTATTGTTTTATGTTGTTTTGTTTATGTCTTTATTTTTGTTATTTTGTTTTTGTTCTTTTCTCTTTAAAATGAAAGAAGAACATATATATATATGTATATACAAGGATAGCTGAGATAATTGTATTGCTGATGTCTATTGGTTTATAGAAAAGAACAGTTAATGCTTAGATTTTTTTTCTTGACCAGTTTTGCATGTTTATATCTGGTAATTGGACCAACTAATTTGAAGACAATAATATGCAATATAACAACCATTGTTAAATTCCCACCATCTTATTTAATGAAGCTCTCTATCATTTCTAATGTTTTTTTACTTCTTTTTATTATCTTTAATTGTTTGATTGATCTTGCTTTCTTACATCTGGTAATCTGAGCAACTTCACTGAAGATAACACTATGTAATATAAACAATCATTGTTAATTCCTGTCATCTTGCTTTGAAATCTTGTACTGTTTTTGTTTTGGTGGTGTTTTGTTTTTGTCCTCATTGTTATATTGTTATTGTTTTTTTCCCTTTAAACATAAAAAAAAAGAAATCAAACAATAACAAATGCTAGCAAGGCTGTAGTGAAAAAGCAACCCTCCTTCATTGTTGATAGGAATGTAAACTAGTACAACCACTATGGAAATCAATGTGGAGATTTCTCAAAGAAAAGTGAGAAATTCCATATGACCCAGTTATCTCCCTTCTAGGTGCAGTATCTTCCACAAAGAGCTTAAAATATACTACTGCAGTGATACCAATATTTATAGCAGAACAATTCATAATAGCTAAATCCCAAAAGCAGCTTGTAAACCCATCAGTGGATGCTTGGATAAAGGAAATGTGATATCTATATATAATGGAATACCACTTAGCTATTAAAAAATGACAAATTTGAGACATTTCTAGGAAAATGGATGCACCTGGAAGATATACCAGACACACAAACTTAAATACCATATGGTATCTCTCATTTGAGTGAGGCAAAGTACAAAAAAAGAATAATAAAGGATGGATAGAAGTGGACAAGAACAGGGGCTGGGGATTTAGCTCAGAGGCAAAAGCGCCTGCCTGGTAAGCGCAAGGTCGTGAGTTCGGTTCCCGGTACCGGAGAAAAACCAAAAAAAAAAAAAAAAAGAAGTGGACAAGAACATAGATCTGCCCTAATAGGGAGGAGAACCAAGGAACAAGAGCGAGGGGTGAGGAGGTAGGAGACAGGAAATGAAAAGAATAAAGATATGCTATGTACAGGAACCTAATAACTTTAATGAATGTGAATATTATATGCCATAACATGAGCTAAGATTAATAATATAAGCAAGAATGAGAACTGGGACGGGGAACAGGAGGGAGGGGGAGGGAAGGGGAAGGGGATGAAAAAAATAAGCCATAGTGTGTACAGGTAACTTCCCCAAGATGACGGTGAACTACATGTGAAACATGTCCTAGTAAGATAAAATTTAACAAAATGAGAGAAAACCAATGTATGCACACAATAGTCATGACATTTTAGTCTTGAGATCTGCATTATAGAGGAAGTTTTATATACAAATTAAAATGAATATGAAATTACATGCTCATCTTGAGAAGGACAGAATCTTTAAATCTGGAAGATGTTCTCCTTTATTCATGACTTATGAGGTCTTTTTGTAAGACTGCAGTTTGTAACTATCTCACCCCGTAGTCTATAGTTCACTTACTTAATTCCTGTTTTCTGCCACATAAACATAATTAATGAGAACCATCAATTTGTTCCCATTTGATAAAGGGCTGAAATAAGAATAGCAGATTGTACCACCAGAGTTTTAGGAGTCTGAAGGATGTTTACTGTGAGGCATTGAAACTCCCCTGGCTTCTGGAGAAGGAATAACTTCCGTTCCTGCTCCTCCTGCCAGTGGCTGAGGCACGTTTGTCTATCTGCTGGATTAAACATTCTTTCAATGAGCCTACTGGGGACATCCAACCTGAGCCTAGAATGGAAAATGCAAATGTTCCAAATACAGGTCCTGCATCTGCAGGCCATTTTCATGAATCTGCCTGACATAATTCTTCCTTTGTGAGAGGCCCTCAGGTGGAGTCCTAGGTCTGGGCTGTGGTAATGTGATATTACATTGTAGCGGGTATTGCATGACCACAGTTTTTCAAGTCTCCCCGTAGCTATGCTATTCGGTATTCCAGTCAGGCAGACATACCCATGGTGACCTCCATGACCCACACCCTTGTGTAAGCCCCTGTCCTGGAATATAAACTGCACCTGGGACTTGCTTATCACCACTAGAATATGCTGACCGGTAGAGTATAAGTGTCTGTCTTGCAGACTGAAGAGGAGAGTCTCCTGAGGAAACTGAAGCACCAAGCTGCCCAGACAGGAACAGTCTCTGGACAGGGCTATGTGGCAAGGGACTGCAGGAAGCACCTAGTTGCTGGGGACCTCAGTTCTGTGAGCACAGCCTTAGAAAATGTTCAAACACTGAGGTGAGACTCCAGCTCCAGCCAACACTTTGATTCCCAGTCTGTGAAGTCTAAATTGTGTTCAAACTTCCAACTTAAGAGAAATTATAAAAATACATGTTTCAAAATGCTTAGTATAACACTTTGCTGCAGGACAATAGAAAGCTGATACATTTAATTCTAGGAATTCTGAGCTCAACCCTGCCATCTGCTTAGGCCAGTGGGCATGGAGAAAATCTGACATAAGCTGTGGTTTGACAAAATAGTTCTGCATTCTCTTTTTTAGTTCTTCCTACTGCCATGCAAAGGCATCTGGGCGAGGTTCAAGAGGAATGGCGGGAGACACCCGCAGGAGAGACATAAGGACACCTGCTGGCTCTGGGTCCATCCTAGACCATTCAGACACTAGCCAACATGCCTGCTCACCACAGACACATAAGGAAGCGTGGCAGGTAACAGCAGAGCTCAGTTCAGACCAGTAAAACACCTAAGAAACAATAAATGGTTGTCATCACAAACAACCAAGTTTTAAGGTGCTTTGTTACGCAATGTTTGTAGTGATAGACCAGTATTATAGGAACCTACCAGTTAAAGCCAAGAGCGTTTACGTAAGTACGCGATTGCCTGTTTGAATTCTTTTTTTTAATCAAAAGACTTAGAGGCATAAGAGGAGAAATGGGTGGCTAATGAGAGGAAAGAGAAGATCATTTGCTAAAAGCTTTCTTGATGAAAGAGAGATCATTTTTCTGTATCTTGAAAATACACTATTTAATTTTCTCTAGCATTTTACACAGCATCTTTAAACAATAACAAAAATATAGGTTGTGCACACTCTTTATATAAGTTCATTACAGAAGCATTTCTTTTTTCTTCTTTTCTGGGCCATGGTCATTTTAGAGTCTGGCTGTGCTTATGCAGGAATATTTTTGGAGGTCTGAGAAGGATAGAAAACACATGCAAAGAGTAGATGATCCCCATGTATGCCTTCCATATCTCGTACACTACAGAGCTAAAAACACCCTTCTGACAACACACAGGCCCCTGGAGGAAGTCTCTTCCTGGAGTAGAAATGGGGGCAGGGTGGTTGTAGGAATGGGAATCCAGTATGGGAGTTTCTGAAACAAATGACAAGAAAATATGCTCTTTCAGTGCCAAAAGGGAAAGGCACATCCAAAGTACTCTCGGATTCTGTAGGCACAAGCTTTCATCTTGAACACAGGCAGTCCAGCATATAGAAGCTCTGGGAGACTTTAGAACAGAGACTTTGCTTTCTCCCAGAGGATAGCGCCATTCTTTTTGATCCTCACAAACTCACCACTGGGAGTAATATGATACAGGCGGCATCATAATTGAGTTGGGAACCACTAAATGTCAGTAAACAAAATGCACTCCAAAGACTTTTCCTTTATGTGATTTTTGTTTCCCAATTTGGAAGAGTAGAATGACAGACTTTCCACAGCCTAATTATCAATTGGTCTCCCTGCAGACAACTAAACTACCTTAAAGTATTTTACTTTTTCTAATCTATCTAAATGTTGGCATATCCAAATATGTCTGCATTTAGCTATACATGGTCCATACACATTTCTTGTAAAATTTTCATTGTCAGATAGAATGAACCTGGGATATGGTTGAAAGATAAGGACAAGGACATAGTCCCCAAGGGCAAAGCAACATCATTCACTGGCAGATAAACTGCTCCTTTCAGGCGAGGGGTGTAGCTTAGTTAATACCACATCTGCTTAGCATCCACTAAGCCACAAGTTCAGTCCCTGGAACCAGATAAAAATAAAAACTGCTTCTTTGAAGAATATATCTTTGGAATATTTCATGAGATTCTGCCTTACTCTTCTTCCAACATGTTACTTGGGAGTCTTTGGGAGTCTTTCGGGGCCTTCTGCTACTGTTTGGGTGGTCTCCTTCTTATAATGGTGCCCAGCTAACAATCCAATAAAGAGCTGCCCCCTGGGAAAGGATCTGGTCAGCTGCTTCCAGGAAGTCTAGCAATATGAATCACTCCCGTTCTGGAGCTACCTAAAAGCTTCATCTTGCGAGTGACTCTACTCAAGTGAACAGCTTGCTGGCCTAATCCCTCACTTTCTACTTGCCCCCCAGCTTCTTAAAGCAGATTTTAGGGGCTGGGGATTTAGCTCAGTGGCAAAGCGCCTGCCTGGCAAGCGCAAGGTCATGAGTTCGGTTCCCGGTACCGGAGAAAAACAAAACAAAAAAAAAAAGCAGATTTTATTCAAGAATTGTCACACTTTCACAGAAAATCTATCTTTCATCTTCAATAAATTGAGATTCCCCTTCTGCATACTTATATCTATTCACCCCTAATCCAGCCTCATCACCTCCAAAATTCCCTGAAGTATGAAGTAAACACAGTAAACAGGGAGGATGCAGGTTTTGGCTGAAATTCAGTAGCCACTCAAGAACAAGAGTCTTTTTCAGAATCTTGACTTGAAATGTAGACCTAAATTATAGGCTGAAAGGGGCATTCTATAAGTAACTTTTGCAGTATGATTTAAAAGTGCAAGGACCTTAAAGTATTTCTTCATTTTGGTTTGTAATTTTCAGTGCAAATTTTTCTCTATTTTTTGATGGGACAATTCTTTACATGTTTTTCATGCGTAAGCTTACCCTATCAATTCCAAGAGTCTAACCTGACGTGTTGATTGTCCAATGGCAATTAGCCATAATTATCCATGAAGATAAAATTCTTTGTTCGGGGAGAAAAAGATAAGCTACCTCTAGATTATATTTAATTTATATTACACATATTTGCTACAATACACTTTTGTTAATTCTAAGTTCAGTAGCTGGTTACAAGGCAAAGAAAGCTTTGCAAAGCAAAAGGAGAGAAAAAGAACAATTTTTTGTGTTTAGAGGAGTAATTTTAGTTTTTAATTAAAAGTGCTCATCTACCTTTAGTATAAAATAATGAACTCTATTCATTTTGTATATTATTATTCAAATGCTACATACTTTTTATTTCCTTTATTTTTTTTTTTTTGTGCCTGGAATCAAACTCAGGACCTTGCACTTGCCAGTCAGGCACTTGTGCTGCTGAGCTATATCCCTGGCCCTCAAATGCTACATACTTATAGTAAAAAATCTAGCATACCTTTCAGAAGAATTCCACTATGAGTTTAGGATGTATCTTCATTTTTAAAAATAACTATTGTCTACAGATCCAGGAGACTGATAAATTAGCAATATTTATCAGTCACTTATAAAAATCATATGCTCTTTCCTATCATTTTTGCAAAACTTTAAATAATATCACAGCAGGACCATAAGCAACCATAGCAGTATTATTTACAATATGCAATTTAACTATAATGATACATATAAGAACTGTTTTACCATAAAGTTGTTTCCCTGAGACATCTGCATCTGACTATCAAGACAAAAAACGGCACTCAAGGGTAAACATGAGTTAGCAGCACATTTCAACTGAAAGATAATCCATCCAACACGATGTCACTTTCCACCAAAGGACAATTAACACAATCTGAAACATCATACAGGTGCACATAGATGTGCTTGTTATCACAGTTGGTCACTGAGCATGAAGAATTTCATTTTTGGACAGTCCTTGGAACCAAGAAGCTCCCCTTGCGTAGGAGACCTTCACAGCTACATCTCCAGGGCTCTCAGAAGCTGTTTCAGCCCACATTCCACATTGCTTTACATTGCCTCTTCAGTTAACGTTGATGCTCAGGAATATCAGCATTTTTTTTTAAAAAAAGTAAAAGGCTAACAATAAAGGTTGCTTCAAAAGAATTATTTTTGCTTCAAAACAATATTTTTCCTCCCTCTCTTCAGAAAGAAGGTAAAGTCACTTCTAAAGGAATCCATCATATTTATTGTACATGGTTCCTCACTACTCCAAAAAGAGGCAGAAAGAGAGAGAGAGAGAAAGAGAAATGTGTTTTGAAGCTCTGCAAATCGAACAGAAGAATACGGGTTGTGTGCACTTTAATACTGATAGAATTGACTAACTAATATTATTGCCTTCACACATCCTAAATATAAATTGTGATTAATGATGCTATTGCTGGAATTGTCCAAAATCGGCCAGTCTTGTATTTGTTCTTGAACATCAAAATTCACAGCATTTAATGAGTCATGGATGGTACCTGTAGAAGAGCAGAACTCTTCTTCAGTTATATAATTCGAGTAAAGTTCACAACAGTGTTTTTAAATTATGTTCTGCTTTAGAATGCCAAAACACAGTGGGCTCACTGCCCAGGCCTGCAAAAGGTCCACATTAAACATAAGCAACAATGCTGTAGGTTTCTGAAATTCATCCACAGGTAGTGGACCCAAGTATCCACGTTACTGGTCCCAAAAATCTGCACTTAAAGACTACACATCCGGAACAAGACAAAGTTAAAACCCAGAAAGTAAATATCCCCAGGCTGCAGTCACTTCCCTAAGAATGGAACAGTTTGCTTTTAAAAAGCAAATTACAGTTTCAAGTACAGACAATCAGATAGAGCTAGTGGATCAAAACATAATTAACTGAAGCATTTGTGTATCAAACGTTATCTGAAGAGACTAATTCAAATTCTATTCCATACAAATAATCGGTCACTGGGAATTAAATGGATTCAATGAATTCACAGGGATTTCATCCCACAACAAATCATTAAAAATTATGAAAGTGGAAGAGAAAAACATTAAATGCAATCAAGAAAAGATAATGAGGCCAATTAAGCTTAAGTGACAACTTCTTTGCTCTAGAACACATTTTGTCAGGCAGATGAAAACAAAATGGTCATTCTTTCTTCTTATTATTGTGAGAGGATGTGCTGTTTGTCCGAAGTTCAGAACCTGATAGCTTTTAAAAAGCTGACTTCGTTGTTGAGATGTGTCTCCCTGTAGGAAACTGTCCCCCTCCCACTGCCTAACTTTAGACATTCCCCTGCACTGCAAAGTGGGGTCAGTGATTGCAATAGCTTGAGGGAGAATTCAAGCAGAGCACTTTCATTACTTTAGCAAAACGATACATCTATCAGCATGGTTGATGGGCCCAAAGCTGTTGTTAAAAAGGACATTCCTTTGCTTATTTTTGTTAACGCTTACTGGCTTCTAGCAAAATAAATGCCATTCCTGTGTCTGGAAAGAGTTAGTAATATTTTGCTCCCTTTCTGGTTAGTAAGATCAAATGTATGCATTTTAAGTACCTCAAATAAATCTTTGTGTTTTTTTTCTTAATGAGATGTACCTTCTGAATACTATTGTTTTCTAAACGCTGTTAACTATAAACAACCATTTGAGAAAGAACCTGACTATTCAAACTTTCACCCCATAGCTTAATTTATGGACTTAGAATAAATTAATAAACCTCTCACAATTAGAATTCGTGCCACTAAAGGCCGTGCCTCAAAGGGAGGAAATGTGCCATTTCCACCCATTAAAAAATACAAAGAATGACAGTACAGGTTCAAATTAAATTAGAATAAAAGTAAAATTTTGCCTGGGTAAATTAGTAACTTGCGTATATGGTTGAAATTGGCTTGAAAGTTGAAATTGAACATTTTCATTATTGAATCTATAGCTATCATTTAAAATCAGTGTGTTTTAATTATTAATTTGGCTTAAAGACAAAGATTCATTGGCAACCTTCAACGGCATTAGTGCATGATTAAAGAGAATCTGGATATCACTAAAATATTAAACATATTAACTTTAAAAGTAATATACATTCACATTGCCTACTAAACAGAAAGGATATACCATTTTAACCACTGTAAATATATTAAATTGAACTTCATGCAATCATGCAAAAATACATCAATGTAATTAAAGATACAGAACTCAATAAAAAGCATAATTCCAGCTGCCAGATTGCAAATTATATGGAATAAATTTGTTCTTTAAGTAGGTACAAACATAGCTTGCTTTGGCAATGAGGACATTTCTTGACATTACACCAGAGTTATAATAAGCCAGTTGAAGGGGAGTTTAGGCCAATAGAAATCTAGTAAATTCTCTTCATAAATGCTTTCTACTTAGCAACAGGGACACTGCCTGGCATTCTGTGTTCTCTTTCTTTGGGCTGTCTTGTTGAGTAAGAAGGAATTTAAATTTTATTATATAACATTTTCATTTCAAATTCTCAAACAATAAACATTTATTTAAAATGTAGGTAACTGTAGTAAGAAGGATATAGAATAAGGAATAACGCCTCTTTCATAGATTCTATGAACTCTTCAAAGTGCTCCACAAACACTAGAAGTTTGATTAGCAGCAAAGCATCAGTCTAACCAAAACCTCTCTCTCCCACATATACATGTACATATATACATACTATACCTCAATACGTGCTATAAATCTATGTTAAATCTGACAATTAATAGTTGTTCTCAGCTGCTGTGCAAGGTTATAAATACTGTCTGCATTGTGTCATGGTTCAAGACCACTAGCACCCAAGTGGTTAAGAGAACCAAACATTTCTTTAAAAAAAAAAAAAAAAAACACATGTTGTTAGTATCTTTTAAGATAAAAATTGGGGCTATAGTAAATCACCCAATATATCATTCTGGGTCCTGTAATTTTCTTTATCTAAAACTATTTTATATACATGGAAGATTAGATATCTTTCAACATAGTTTCAGCAATCCTGAGTATAAAATGTTTCTTTGAAAAATATAATGTCTTCTTTTTTAAATGGAGGAAAGTTCTTTGTGTATGGTGCTCCCATCCACACGCAAACAGATGAATTTTGCAGCATTTTCTCCCAGGAACACATTGACAGTGCAGTCACTATTGTACATAGTGACTGCCAGAAGGGGACTCCCTAGAACTATGGCTGTCATACACCCCTGCACAGGGCCTCCTGAGAAGAGGTCCTGCAGGCTTCACGGCATTCAGGTCATTTCTCTTCCATCCATTCTACTGACACTCAGTCCTTGGCCATCTTGCAGCAGTAGTTGAAATCAGAATTTGAACTTCCCCAGGAAAATCAAGGGCATTCAACATGCATTTTCATCTTTTGCTTGGGTGACTCTTGGTTCCCCACGGATAGGAGTGATATCTAGAAGATTGAGAAATGGAAAGAGTTCTCAATAGTCACAGATATTGCCATTTGTACATTCAGCTTCAAAAGCTGTCACTCAGGTACATAATAAATCACAATCAGTGAGAAATGATTCTCTTTATTACTATGAGAACGTTTTTAGAAAGACGTCTTTTGCTGAAATTTAGTGCCACTAGAGTCTCTATCAAGCTATAAACTGCAAGAACTGATAATCTTTTATAGTATAAAAATAAGTACATACTCAATTTATTAGATATAGATAGATGTAGATATAGATAGATATAGATAGATATAGCTATAGATTTTTTTTTTGGAGACAGGGTCTCACATGGTTCAGGTTGGCCTTAAATTCTCTAAGTAGTCCAGGCTGGCCTCAAATTCATGGCGATCCTCCTGCCTCAGTCTCCCAAGTGCTGAGAATACAGGCATGTGCCACCACACCCTAAGTGCTTATTCAAAAGCACATTTGAACAGCTATATGTCTTAAAATAAGTACTTTACGTGTCCATTTGTCATACCAAAGTAATGAATGTTGATTCAATGTAGATTTCATTTTATTTTCTATATTGTCATTTCTCAGTGTGCATTTCATTATCAAAAATCAAATACTAATCCCAGCACTTGGGAGGCTGAGGCAGGAGGATTGTTGCAAATTCGAGACCAGCCTGGGCTACAAAGTGCGCTGAAGGCCAGCCTGAACTGCACAGTGAGATCCTGTCTCAAAAAGACAAAAAAAAAAATCAAATACTAAAATATATCTCATCCCTAAGTATATTCATAAGGATGATATATTTGCCATCTACTCATTGAGTTATACTCTTACAAAAATGATAAAATAAGGCATACTGGGCTGTATCCTTCCGGTAGGGAAACTACGAATATGTATATAAATCACAATTAAGCATACAATCCTATGAATACGAAAGAACAGAGCCTGCCTTGGGATCAGTTAGGAGGCTGGTCCATCCTGTTTGTCCTACCTTCATTTGTCCTACTTGCAGCCTCTCACCTCAGTCCTCCTTCCCCTCCCAAGAAGCCTGAACTAAGCCCTTGCTTTGGTCAGAGGTCCTTGCAGTCACTTTTATTTCTCTTTCCATTTTCCTAATGTGTAGCATTTTAGGACCAGAAACATTCTTCCTGCCTAATTGCCCAAGCAGTTTCTCCATTATTTCAGCAGTTCCAGAAACGTTCTCCAAATATAGGTCATGTATAGGTGATGGCTTTATCCCAAAACTGAACCTAGCACCTCCTCCCGATCTAAATAGTAGGCCTGCAGTCTAAACTGAAAATGTATGGGATCGTGGTTAATGGTTTAGTGACCAGCAGGATGATCTGCATGCATGTGAAACAGCTTTAAACTGTAAACTTGAATAATAAAATCATTATGCATGCAATTCCTTTTGGAAGATTCTCAAGCAAGATAAGTTAATAATGTTTTGCAATAAGGACAATGTTGCTGACAATTAAAATAATGGGAATGACAGTGGGAAGAGTAAAACTGGGGAGCGCTTGCATGAGGAACGAAGCAATGCTTCCCATTCCCAGCTGTATAGCCAGCTTAACGCTTCTCAACTTGCATTGCATATAAACGATGAGTAAAAACTAGCATAAACAAACAAGGTCAGCAGTGCTCTTTCCTATAGTACTTGGAGACTTTGATTTATTTTATTTATTTATTTATTTATTTATTTATTTATTTTGTCTTTTTGAGACAGGGTCTCACTGTGCAGTTCAGGCTGGCCTTGAGCTCACTTTGTAGCCCAGGCTGGTCTCGAATTTGCAACAATCCTCCTGCCTCAGCCTCCCGAGTGCTGGGATTAGAGGCATGGGCCACCACACCCAGCTGGAGACTTTAATATGGCAATGAATGTCAAAATTCTCCCAAAATAAAACATTGTACATTGGGAGTATATTTGGTCACAAAACTTATTTTTCAGTGAACGTCTATTATCTTTGGTAATAATGGTCTTTCTATAGATATTACTTGGGTAAAATATACTATTGAGTCTATACACAGATTCTAAATTTTTCTGTATGTCTTGTGACATTAAACATGCCCAGGCTTTGTAGAAAACTCACAACCAGCTGTTCTGATTTACTACATTTAGAGTTACTTTTACTAGTAAACTATAATGTTTTTCTCTAAGATATGTTCTATCATTGCTATTAGGAACCAAAACAGGAATATCATAGCTATATGGGTTTAAAAATTTAATACCTATTTTTATTAACACATTAATTGTACATATCAATGTGAATTTTAAATATGATTTAAAAGTAATTTGTAGAATCTTTTACTTATTCATTTATTTTGTCTGTTTGAGACAGGGTTTTACTACGTAGTTCAGGCTGGTCTTGACCTTACTTTGTAGCCCAGACTGGCCTCAGACTCACAGCCATCCTCCTGCCTCAGCCTCCTGAGTTCTGGGACTACAGACATGCACCACTAGACCCAGCCCTGGAATAATCTTTTAAAAATTTGAAGTCATAACCAATTTATTTGAACTTGACTGTTCAAATCATGCCTTCATAATAGTCTTTCTATAATTCCAAATATAACTGTTAAGAGTTTTAAACCTTATTTACAGGACATACTATTATCTGTTTTTCATAAGAAAATTTGTTATATCTTTTAATAAAAAAGTATATTTTTAGAATGAGATTTTTTTAACTTACTGATAGTGCAACAAAATGTATAAGCATAAATTCCAGAAAAATAATTTTTTTAAATAAGTAAAAAATAATAATTCTTGCAAGAGCTTCTTTAAACTTACCTAGTTTTTGTACTTTATTTTTTATTTTTATTATTTAGTTCATTAATTTGTTGTTGTGATCCTGGGAATTGAATACAGGCTCTTTGCACTGAGCTACATCACCAATTTTTTTTCTTTTTAACGTTTATTTTTTTATTTAGAGCGAGTGTCTTGCCAAGTTGCTGAGTTGCTCAGGCTTGACCTAAAGTTGTAGTCAACTCAGGTCCTGTTTGAGCCACTCAAAGTGCTGAGACTGCAGGTGTGTGTTACTATGCCCAGCTGCTAGGGGTTTTTTCTTCAATTTATATTTAGTTGGTTTCTTTTGCCCCACTACAAGCCAAGAACATTTGAAGTCAAATGCTGGGAGTTAAGAACTGAGACATTCATAATAAGGCCAGATATATTCAATCCTCAGGTAAAAAGTGAAAACTCCAAAATCGTTCCAGGTATAATGGTAGGAGAGTGGTTTTGGAGATAGTAATTTCTATTAACAATATATCCTTGGAAGACAAGAAATACTCATCATTTCTCTGCAGTTACAAGTCACAACAGAACTAAATTTACAGACTGTATTTTGGAAATATATTATCAAGCACAAAGAGCAAGAAGTTGAGTAATTTTATGTGTGATTCATAAGAAAAACCATTGAAATGGGAGAAGAAAAAAACTGGAGATTGAACTAACTCAAAAAAGAATCTAATTTCCATATAATGACCTTAACCAGATGTTGTTAAACACTCTTTGTCTTAGCACGGCTACTAGTTTTCTTTAAGGAAGACTTCTAGAATAATTTAAATAGTGGACACAGAATAGCTTTAGTAGTTGGGACTGAATGCAGTTTGCTCATGCAAAAAAAAGCTACTTTGGGGAACATACTCCAAAGGACTGTGCCTCCCAAGACAACCTTGAGCCATACCTTGTGTGTGTGTGTGTGTGTGTGTGTGTGTGTGTGTGTGTGCGCACGCGCTTACAATTTGATGATTCAGCTATAAATGCTCCTTGGAAAAGCCAAGAGTCAACCCATACCCTGTCATTCGCACCATTGCAAAATATATACTGGCTGGAGTCTCAACTGCCAGTAGCTGATTTCTTCTTCTGAGGGAAATTTCTCTGGCCCCTAGAGCTTTCTCTGTCCTTTACAAAAGGCGAGAAATAGCATGGAATTAACACTTCCTGGGAAAAGGCCTCAAACAATGATGGACGGAAATTGGAGGATAACCGCCTCAGCTCTCTTGCTCTTTGAGGGGGATAACTCTGAGGCATCTGCTCTTTACAGGTTCTCAGACCTCCAGTGGGATCAACTCCCACAATGGAATATTCTTGCTAATGAAACCTTCACTGAATAATCACTTCACTTACCATCAGTGTCTCCTTGAATCATTTCTTAAACTCTTGCACTCAAATTGTTGTGCTGACACTGTGCCCTACAGTAAAACTATAAGAATCAATAACTGGACTTAAATTGATTAAAAATAGTATATTTTTAAGAGCACCAACAGTTATATTGGAAGACAGTATGTATATGTAGCCCCAATACATCAAAGTTCCTTATTTAGGAAAGCAAATATCAGTACATATTAACAAAGTCCCTTTCCTACCAACATATTTTAAATTCATCTGCAGTCATTCTTTGTATAGCTACATTTTCCCCAGAATTCTATGCCTACAGTGGGTAGATTTCACTGATGAAAATGAATTTTCACCTCTTTGAAAATGGACAGATATTTAATTTAAAAAGCCAACCTAGAAATGCTTTTTTCATTTAATTATATTCAGTATTATTTTCTGGACTAAATTATTACTAACTGACCACTTTATGTTTCAACCACAAATATAGCAGGTACTCCATGCAAAAGACAGGCAATGCGTAAAATATGATTAGAAAACACAGTGGACATTTAAATTTTTAAAAACTGATCACAGTAAAAGACACATTGTTGTTAACCCCCTTCAAACTGCTTCCCCTCACTTCAGACACACGCATCCTATTTTTCTTGTTACTTTCAGAAGGAGTTCTGACAGTCCTTTTCCAAGAGTGTCTGTCGTGTTGTGATTGCCTTAATGTCCTGAACTGATTCAAAACACTTACCGTTTGTCGTCATTTTGACTTTAGGGAAGAGCCAAAAGTTGCACAGTGCCAGGTCCACTGAATAAGGCGGATAAAGACACACCATAATGTTTTTATTTAATGTGAAAATCACCTTAAACATTTTGAATCAATTCAAGACCTCAAGGCAGCCACCAAAAAAAGTTGAAGGAAGACTTCCAGAATGGCTTCATAAAGTGGCAAGAATGACGGCAAAGCAAAGGGGATTGATCAGCACAATGCGTCTTTTATTGTGATAATTTTTAAAATTTTTATTTTAAACATTTCACTACATCTTTGGTCATACTACTTGTATTCTACCCACACTTAAATCTAATATAAACAAAGATCTTTTATAAAAATGTTTAAAAAGAAAAAAAAAAAAAAAAAAACTCCTGGTTTGAGGTAGAGAAATCAAATCTACTATCCCATGGTCTCCAATCATCTTACACATTTGTAAGCAAACTTCTGATCTCACCTGTTAGATGTAAAATTGTAATAGCCACTTTCTTCAAGGACTTCTTCAATCACAGTCTAAAATTGAAAAACCAATCAGCTTAGTACTGAATTAAAAGCAACAAAATAAAATCATTCAGAAATACTGCAAAAATCTCACCTGCATCTGTTCATATGTTATTCCCTCCTCCAAATCAAAGCTGGTGGGCAGACCTGAGATAGATGAATTATTAAAAGGATGACTTTCACTTTCCATTTTCTTAGTTATACTTTATTGGCAATTATGACTTCAACCTTAGCAAAAAGAGGTCAATTTCTTAATGATAAAAATGAGACTTAAATTCCAGAGTGTCTTGATTTTGAATAGTCAAATTCTTTGTTTTTCTTTAATAATTGGTCACTTTGGGTACGGCTATTAAAACAATATGAAGATTTAGGAGCGCTGCTCCCAGTATAAATTAACTTTAAGTTAGAGCTGTGTGTGTAGGGAGTGAGTTTTTCCATTAAGTAATTCTCATCAGCCCACAGGCAAAAAGAATAAAAATGTGCTAGAAAAAATAGTTTCTCATAGAAAGGCAGGAAAAGAGCAAAGGAAACAAAGATCTGACCCGTGCAGCATGTAACTGCCTAGAAAAAAGTACACTTAATGCCAGAAGACTTATTTTTGATGGTTAGTCTGAATGTGATACGTAGCACCTTAACCCATGCCAAAGCTATGTGGGCTAGTTTCCACTTGAATCAACCAACACTGACTGGATGTAGATGCCTGGGAGTTCTTCTACTTCTTTGGAGAGAATAAAGAGGATGAGTTGCAGGTTGAGGAAGACATGAAGCTACGAGTAGTGGTGGCTGACTTTTAAAGCCAACTCAAGGTATTTCCCCCACAGAGCTGGCAGGTTCTGTTGTCTTTGCTTTTTCAACCTGCAGTAACAATTGCTCGGCTCTGGGGTGGGGAATCCAGCTGTCCTAGGAGGCATTTATCAACTCCCTCGCAGGCTTTAGAGACTCCTATCAGAGTTTGTCTCATTTGTTACTATAAGGAGAAGTCTGGCCCATGGATGAACTTAGCTGTCCTGGGAAAGCTTTCAGTGAAGATGTGTTATTTACACATGCCAACTCCCCGTGAGGAATGCAACCATTATATACTGCAAACATGTACAGAAAAATAATTTTTTTAACAAAAGGAGCAAAGGATGTTAGAAAACATTCTATGTTGCTCTTACGAAGTTTTCAAGGTCCATTTTAAATGCAATTCTGTCTACATCGGGGTTAGCTTTATCTTAGCAGTACAAGACTCAGGACGGTTTGATAATACATAAAATAATTTGTTTAGGCAACATTTATAAAATGAGCATTTTTCTAAGCTGAAAAGATGTCAAGTCTTCATCTAACTTTAAAAGTTTCATCTCTGTCCCTTCCACCAAGTGAAATAACTATAGTTTATCAAGATTCAATAATTATTTAGGAATTCTGAAACCTCAGAGCAGTTGGAACACTTCTGAGGGCTCAGATATAACAAGTACAGTGCAGTTACGCTGAGCCTGTACTTGCGGCCAGGCGATTTTTACATTCACTTGATACTTCCTATAACTCTATGGTGTCGGTATTACTATTTTTAAATTTTGCCCATTATTCATTATTTTATCGCCATATTTCTTTCCATTTTATACGAAAGGACAGTGAAGTTCAGAGAAGTTAAACAATTTGCTCAAGGTCAGCCACTAAACGGTTGAACTGAGATTTGAATCTAGGCTGGTAGGTTTCCAGAATCAATGCCTTTAGTTCCTGTGCTATGAAGCCTCCCTATGTGAAAGTTATGATAAAAAGAACATAAAATTAAATATGTCTAATGCGAATTCTTCAGGTAAATTGCACTTCTCCATTTTGAATATTTAAACTTTCCATTTCTAATCTCCCCATCTGCTTTTGGACATTTGATTTCCCATTATCAAACAAACAAGAACAAATAAAAAAAAATATAATTCACGAGCATACATCCTGCTATTTGTTTATGGTATTAATAAATGAACAAGGAAGCTGCCACACTGTGTAAGATAAATCTCAGGGAATTTCTATATCCTTTCTATATATCCCTTCGAACTATTGCCAGAGATAACAAAAACAAACTCTATTTTTCTTTTCAGCTGGAGATGATATTTTAGGATTAGCTGTTGACCCAAACTGTATTTTTGTGAAAGCTACATTACGCATATTCATGACTATTACCTGTGGGGTCATCTGGGGACAGTCTGTTCTCACCTGATGCATGATGCAATAAATGGTAATCTGCAGTAAAAAAGTTCGGTTCAATTGGTTCTGGAGATCCCTGAGATAACTGAAATAAAAGAAAAGCAAAATCACGTCTTGTTTTGTATTCAGAAGTAAATGACAGGAGATTTCTGTCTGGGGCTTTCCATTTCCCTATGTGTCTGTGTAGAAAATTTTGTGCTCTGGGGTTTTCAATCTTGTAAATAGATAAACATCTTCTTCCTTCTGAAAGAACTTATAAATTAGAAGCAGGCAAATTACAATGAGAGCAAGTTAGACAATTCCCTGGCCATATGAAAAAAGTACACATTATAGATTTGTGAGAGCAAAAGAAAAATGGACAGGAAAATAATAGTATGGGCCTGGCACATCAAGACATTATTTTTAATCAGGACTAGGGGGAATAAACTCCAATTATTCAACAGAACAATATGTTTATTCCAAATCACAACCCTTTTCCACATACCTTCTCTGAACAATGCTTTCTTGTTTGACCAAAGTTAACAAGTTTTTCAGTATATTTTTCTAAATTACTATTAATTAGCTTTAATCCAAACATTAGTTCTTAATATGCTAAAGAAAAGAGCAATTCAACCAAAGACAGAATTTATTAAAGTTCAAATTGCTTAATGCTTTTCTACAAAGCTGAATGTTTTAAATGGGATTTTAGGCTATAAATGTTTTTCAACTACTTTCACTTTTAATTCCAACCAACACTTGGGCTGGCAAAATTTTAATGCTTGAGTTAATATCACATACTTTTAAAATGTTAAATATTAATAAACCATAAACAAATGACATAATTGTTTGATTCACATACCCTGCTTTGAAGATGTACATTGTTCAGTCACTAGAGAACACTGGCTCTGTGTGCTGCAATGAAACAACATATGCCTACCTTTGACACAGCAATCTCACTCCTAATGACTGGTGTGAGAGAAATGAGTACATACATCCATCAAGAGATATCTGTAAGAATGTTTATGATGCCTTCTTCATAATAACTAAAACTTGGATAGGGCCAGCAGACAGCTCAGCAGCACAGCACCTGCTCGGCAAGCACAAGGTCCTGAGTTCGATTCCGGTACCAAAAACAAAAAATAAAAATAAAAATTGGAAACTCTCAAATGTAAATGGACAGAACAGATGGATCATGAGGGGGATCATGAATGGAATTCCCCAAACAATAAAAAAGAAACTATGAATATTTATTATACAAATGTATATTAGGCCCAACAAGCCAGAAACAAAAGAAGAAATAATGTGTAACTCTTTTTTGCTTTTTGTAATCCTAGGGATCAAACCCAGGGCCCTTTGCACTGAGCTATAGCCCCAGCTTTGCACATTTTCTCCATCAGGCAGAAGTAACTAATGGTAATAGAACTCATGGCAGAGAATGTGGCTTGGCCAGGAGAGAGTCTTCTGTGGGGCTAGAAATATTGATGGAACTGTTGAATAAATATATATGCAAATATTCATGTGTGGGTACCACACTGTATGGATTCTGTATGTTATATCTCAATAAAAATATTTCATTTTAGCAAGTGATACCTAACTGATCCATCACTGGATTTTGGGTACACTAAATGCAGATCATTTTTGTTTTCTAATCTCCATGTTACCAAATACCTGACACATTAGAAAAAAATGGCTCTATCTTGTTTTATTCTTGAAATTTTATTTTCCTTGCCTCCGTGATAAAATTAATAATCCATCTGTACTGTGACAGACTTGTAAGACTGTAAGGTACTGTAATAAAAGTCCCATGCTTACTTTTTTATCAATGTCATAGAGGTAATCCTAAGCATTCTGCATTTCTCATATCCCAGCTAGTAGATCACTTTGACTGCAAGCTCCATAATGTATCTTATGATGCTGAAAATAATTTCCTAGTCTTAGCTTTCAAGTGACTCCAGACGGTAATATTTTCCATATGGTTTAGCATAGGAGTAACCTGGCTGCCTGAAATGCTCATGCTAATTATAGAAAGCTTATTCATTTTAATTATTAAGTATACTTTGGAATCCTAAAAAGTTCATAGCCTGGAAAATGTTGAAATCCCAAAGTAAAGTGTGTGAATTGTACCCTGGACAGATCAAGACTGAAGTCTTAAGATGACAAGGACAAGTCCTTTTCACCAATTTTAAACCTTGAAGACAGTGGTTTTTGAGGTCTTCAATTTACGTCACATTAGCAATCTCTTTCAGCTTAAGAATGCCAAATCCTCAGAGAGACAGGGTACGGATGAAGGAAAGGACTAAAATTCACCAGTCTTGCGTTCAAACCCAGAAGTATTTATTTATATTCCACAAACTTCTCAGACTGTCTTCTTCTTGCAGCTTAGGATCTAAATATAAATATTCTTTCACGAACATTTTTGCACCTTACTGTGTGCTGGACAGTAATGTTTTATGGTCTGAGCAGGATGCAGAAATGATCTTGCTTTTTTTTTTTTTTTTCAGTACAGGGATTTGAACCTAAGGTATTCAGAGAGACTGTAAAACTTCCAAAATACAGACCTGCACGAAGACTAGCATGGCTTTCAGAGACTAGCATAGCTGCCGTGCCTTGAGGAATGTGTTGGCGTGCATTTAGGGAAGCTAAGTAGACATTACTGGTGAGGGAAATTAGCATTAAATTCCAGGCATTATAGATTAATAACAAAATGATTAAAACAATATGACATGAGTCCATGTTACGGTGTTATGGCGATTGATCTAGAATAAAGAGAAGAAAGCAAGTTCCACTCACCAATTCTTTAAGTTTTTAAAATCAACTGTTGTATGCTAAGCATGGATCCAAACAGGGAGAAAACCTAGTGATCGTGCAAAGTTGGTCTCAGACCTCACTGCTGACGTAGGGAGAGTCATGTCTCTAAAATGTCCACAGCACAGGCATAAAATGGTGAGTGCACTGAATGTTTAAGGGTGGGTCTGTGGGTCTAGAAAGAACCTGTAGACTTGACTACGCCAAGAAAGGTTTTACCAAGAAAGCAACGCTTAGGCCAAGAACTGCAGGAGTAGGCGTGAGTGAAGAGTAGTCTGTGCAGAGCATTATGGCAGAGGGAAGGAAGGGCCTTGTGGCTGGTACTAAGATAGCAAAAGGCAAGAGCAGTGAGACATGCTAGGCAGGGCGTGGGCCACACAGGGCCAGAGATATCAAGGAAAGAGTTTTCACCTATTATGCTATAATCCCCTTGGAGGCCTGTTTTCATGCGTATGTGTATGTGTTGCATGTGCGTGTGCCTGTGGGTGTGTGCATGTATGTGTGACAGAGAGAGAGGGTGACACAGAGAGACAGAGACAGACACAGACACAGAGACAGACTGTTTTGGAAGAACTGGCCTCAACGCAATGAACATAATAGCTTGAGTGCAGCTGGGCACTTCAGAGTGAATACAGACACTGAAGAGGTGCCTGAAAAGAACTTTTAAACAAGCCAGCCTAGAAAGCTGGATCCCAGAATCTAGAGGATGGTGTACAAAGCTATTAGCAGTTTTGAGTATACTAGTAACAAAGTTGACAAACTAGTAATCTAACAAGGTGGATTAGAACACAAGGAGATCAGCAAAGAAGTTGTAACAGTAATGCAAGAGAAAAGGACCAAGAGCTTGGACTAGGTATTAATAACCAATACACAAAATCCAATATGCTTACTTAAAAATAACAGCAACACTTCCTACCATTTACCTTACAACATTGTGGACATAGTCTAGTCTATGTGGACATATGATATTCTATTTGATTCTAATAGAAAAACTGCTTAAACATTACCCCCATTTTATACACGAGGAAACTGATAAGTAAAGTCATTTGTCCAGTGAGCATAGCTATTAAGTGGCAGGACCTACAGCTGTCCACCATCAAAAGTCAAGCAAAATCATCTCTCCTCTAAAGACTCCCCAGCTGTTAATGACTGTCTTGGTTACTTTTCTCTCGTTGCTGGGACAAAATACCTGACACCCAAAATTAAGGAAGGAAAGGTTTATTTCGCTTACAGTTTGTGGAGGTTTCAGTCCGTACTTGGCAAATTACAAGGCAGAGTGGCACATGGCAGAGAGCTACAGCTCAGGGCAGCAGAACACAGTAGAGCAACAAGCACACACCAGGGCAGAATGGGGGAGGAATGGCCTCAAGCGCTCTTTTCCTCTCCCTTACATATGCAAACTATCCACCCCAGGGTGGGTGTAGCTCTCACACCCATAATCAAACTCTTAAAGCCTGCCCCATGGCCGCGTGAGGCTTTGGGGCGACACCCAGAAACAAACCATAACAATGACCTAGAGGATGCAAAGCATAAAGTGAAGCAGTTTGAAAATGATTGTGAGGTTTAAAGATGGAGCAGGGAAAAACCTGATGCTTTCAGTCACACTGATGTGGATGCGGGAAGGAAGAAGAGGTTAGAAATCCAATTCTGGGCACGGCAGAGGTCAAAGTAAATGTTCCCCAGTAGTGGGAAATATGGAAGAGACGACAGAATGGCTTGGAAGCAATGGCCGCTGATTACTATCTTAGGCTAGGGGTGGTTTAGCAACCAGTGCAGGCTGAGTCCAATCTGCTTCATGCAGTCAGCATGCAGGGGCACCTCCTGTGGGCAGCATGCATGCTCTGTTGGGAAGAATGTATAAGACTTTTTCTGAACTGATATAAAAGAGCTCTGTTATTCCAACTCCTACAGTTCTGAAGAACAAGTGATTGTACACACTTTTGAACTAAACAAAAAACCAAACTGATTGTATCACCTTCCACCTCTTCCTGAAACACCGCTGATACTGAGCAAGTATTGAGTAATTTTAGTGCTTTCTCAGTCACTTCAAAATACAGTACTTCTTAGGCAGAACCTAAACAGAAGAAAACAATGGGAAACTACAAATGCAATCCTTACTAAGTTTCCCAAACTACATCTTCTTTTCCATATCATAAAATAGGGTTATCTCCTGCAAAACAACTATACAAATTACTTGGGATCTAATCAACTGAGGTAGAACTGTGAAGGAAATTGAGTCAAACATAAATGAAATTAGATGCCAGAAGTGAGAAAATTCACGTGTTCCATCACTGCGCTTGC